TGATAATGTCAAACATAAACATTTTAAGAATAATTTCAGAGATTATTCATAAGAATAGCCTGTAAGCTATTAAATACTATATAAATGAGCCTTTACATCATGTTATTTTTCAAGCAATCAACAATCACTTTCAATTACTATATGATAGGTTCCAGCCAAGGTGCAATGTGGTAAAAGGAGGAGTGTAGTTGGAAGAATGGGAAGTTGGTAATGAGGGTCAGCCGTAGGTAGCAGCATGACTAGATGACTCCTTTTTGTTGGTATAATGGGTTAAGTGTTGTACTACTGACTGCAAGTTAAGAAGTTCAAGGCCACCAGTCTGTTCATGAGGGAAAGATGAGACTATCTGATCCTATAAAGATTCGGTCTCAGAAACCCTGAAGAGCAGTTTTACTCTGTCCTATAGGGTCACTGTAAGTCAGAATTTGACTCAGCGGCAGTGGGCTTTCTGGTTTCCATATGGGAGATAGTCTGAAGGCATTGGAGAATCAGATTCCCCATAGATCAGAAACAAATCATTAATGTTATAAGTGATATGTTTGACGTACACTCACTAAACCACATGTCTAAAGATTTTCATTCTAGTTTTGCTTCCCCTGTTTTGCAATGGGTAGTAGGCTCCTGTTATGAAACCATAAAGACCAGTTTCAAGATATCTCCCTGGCAAATGTCAGGTGTTTATCAAATATTTAGTGAATGCATGAATGAGTGAATTAATAGAGTGTAATTCTTTCATGATGTGATTGTTGTTAGTTTCCACAGAGTTAATTCAATCCTTGGCTATGTACGTGGTGCAGAGTCAAATTGCTCCATGCAACCTTTGAAAACAGATAGCCAAGATGGCCTTCTGAGGTACTGCTGACTGAGTTGACATTGCCAATCATTGGGCTAATAGTTGAGCGCATCAGCCAAGGAATCCATTGCCTTCTTAGGTTGTAAATATGCAAAGAAATAATGTATTAAATAAGTGCTATCTAAAGTGTGAGAAATACATAAATCTGAATGCATTATAATTTTCAGTGGCTTTATTGGTATGTAATTTGCATACCATACAATTCATTAGTTCAATTCCATCAAGAAGAGTTGTAAAATCATCATTACAATCAATTTTAGAACATTT